TTTATTGAGTGATCAAGAGGTATTGAACTATATTCGTTACTATCGTGACTACAAATATACTTCCACATTAAATCATACTTAAAAATGAAAAATAACCAATTGACCACACAAGCTTCTAGTACTTGTCTGACAAATTGGACTTGTCATTTATTCACTTAAGTTTCACTTGTCAGCTTAAGGTAAATGGTTAAACTGGTTGTCGAATGTCACATTTCGACGAGCATAACCTTAAATATATTTTTTAGACCTCAATTTCGATAGCGTCAGAGCAAAGGTTACTGCAGTTTTAGTTTTCCCTTTACGAGAACAGGTGCTGAAATATTCGATTCTAGATATTACAATGTCAAAGACTTTCTCGTGATGTCGCAGCCCGACTAAAATACAGCTAGCTATTCAACTGTGGTGATATTTTTAATTATTTGTTATTTGCTTTTGTGCGGTCAAATTGAGGTCTCCTTAATTTTCTTGATATCAAAATTAAGATTTTTATTCTATTAAACATAATTACAAAACCTCTGATTCATAGCTAAATTGAGATGAAAGTTTCATTGAATGATTCAGAAAAAAATGGAGGAAGAGAGATCTTCAAAGTCTAATGGATTTTTATATTCTTATACTTTTTCTACTCCCTTTTGTAAAATACCTAACTATTCACCGATCTAGCCTACGGAAAGTGTCATTTTATTAGTCAGTTTCGTTTCCCACGGATCCGAGCCACTTCGGACATTTCCGAGATATTACCGCACGGGTTTGCGAGCAATCGGATGTTTTCGGAGTTATTACCTGACGGCTTGAATTTTGACGTTTGTAAATTTTGACCCCGAGGTCACTTAATATATTTTCTTGTTGTTTTGCGAAAATGTACCCAAAAACTAACAGTCGTAGAAAAAGTATAGTATGCAACACGTTTCGTAAACTTTTTCAGTGACTCATTTATTAAACATTGGCTCCTCTCGTGCCAAATAAGTTAGTGGCTTAAATGCCGTGGGTTGCATAATATACTGTTTTATAATTGTATTATTTTTGTTAAATTAATTTTTATTAAAATACACAAAAATTAAACAATTTTTTTGAACGCTACGTTACTGTTTAAAAGGCTCATAATGTCGGGATAACATTTTAAAAATTAATAACTTCTTCCGAAATGCGTCGTCGCAGAGAATTTAAATGAGAATTCAACTTCTTTCCAACGAGTCCGAGGAAGCGCTATTCCACCAGTGCTTGAATTTGGTATCGATATTTGAAAATTTTTATTACAATTTGACATAAATTCGATCTTCAGGACTACAAATTAAATAGTTCTTTAACAGCGTGAAAAAATCCGCACTACCATTTCGTATAACTATTACAATTAAAAAATATTTATATATCTATTATTTTTAGTTTATTTGTGAACGATTTTGTTTTCGTTCTAGTTATAATTTATTATATTTTGGAAAAAATTCTTCGAATGAAAGCTTGAACTTTTTAAAGGAACATTGAATATTTTATCGTTTTCGTGAACCCAATGAAATATTAATTTGAAACACCCAACACCTTGTACATTGTTACCACTTTTTATATGCTTTTAAACTGTTTGACCGACTCTGTATTTTTAAAAGCTACCCGTAAATTAAAAAGGTGACGACGTTGCATACATAAATTAATTTAACACCGAAACTGTTTTAATCTACCGCGCTGCATAAGCGACCAGGGTCCAAATCAAAACTCGATTTTAGAAAAAAATCGAGGCTCTGTTTATTAGACGGCAATTAACTTTCATTGGCACAGAGCAATATTCTGTGAAAAATTTTGATCCAAATCATTTGGAAGTAAAAACGTGATTTTTATTCAGTTTTAACAAAAAAAAATGATGGAAAAATTAAAGTGCAATTTTTATAAACCAATTCTGGGAATGGCGATTTTTATATTCCAAAGTTCTTATTTAATTCAAATTGCGAAATCAAAATATTTTGAACGGCATAGTCTTTCAAATTCAGGCATCGAAGCATGCAGACTCTGGTTTTATTTAAAACCGACGATAATGTTGCATTTTGACTATTATTTTTAAATGGAGTTGATAAATAATGTTGTAAAAAAGAAATTTGGATTCAATTGAGTCAAGTGGTAAACTGAATCGTTCTGAATCATCTTAGCGTTATTTAAAACGTAGGTCGCTATAGAAGATTTTTCATTTTCTATAATATATAGCAACAATCAAGCATATCGTGTCTTTGGTATCTATTTAAAAAATACCTAATATTGTCAACAAGTGACCTGGGCAGCTTTAAAAATTTAATTATTTCTTTTTGTTATTTATATCTTAAACCTCGAATATCTCAAAAAGTAAAATTTAAATATAAGATAAATTACAAACTTAACTTATTTTCCATTCTAGAATTGATATCTGAATAAAAATGTATTCTATTTGAAAATCTTGTTGAATTCGCCAAAACGGCATCACCTATTTGGGACACCTTGTATAACCTGAGCCACATCTGTCAAATTGATCGAGTAGTGCATTATCTCCTGAGTTTGTGGTTAAATTCTCTTTGCAATACCTGGATCATTAGCGTCACAACACCATTTTAAATGGGCAATCAACATATAAAAAAAAACACATAACCCCTATTTCTTAAGAAAATGACCTTTATTTTAACCTAGGATTCCAAAAATGTTTAAATATATAGGGTGTTCCATTTAAAATAACAAAGTTAATGTCGTGGGGGATGTTTTTGGGACACCCTGTATCAACAAAATTATAATATTTTAAGACTTCAGGAGAGTCCGAGAAACTTTTGTACCACACTTTTTTTCGTATCTCGTATGGGTTTCCAGATCGTATAGTGGATCGTTTCATTTGGCACACTGTGTACATTTATTCTGATATATGATATATAATAAGGTGGCTGGCATACCCTAGTAGCAATAAATATGCAAAGCCTTTTCAATCGCTCACAGTAGAAAAAAATTGTAGGAGTCAGAAATTTATTTTATTTGAGTATTATCCGTAACCCTGTATCTTCAGCAAATAAGAACTGATCTATTTTGTTTTATTCGCCTATGTAAAATTTACTCTCGGTTGCGGCGCGGAAACCCTGCAATTTTCTTGTGAAGTCTCCAACTCATAAATGGAAATTGTACGTCATTCCCAAAAACAACATTTTGAAAGAGAACGACACTGGCCCTAATATGTAATAGTTGATATTTTACGACGCCTATTATATACTAAATTATTTTAATTATACCTTAACGTCTTTCAGTCGAAAAAGAAGAAAGAGAATCATTTTGATGTTTTTAAAAGCAAATTCTGATTGCGACGAAAGTGGCCTTAAGCCTTGCAAGTGGAGACAGCAGGAACTCGTGTAGTGTGCAAAAGTTAGCGCAGCGCTGGAGGTCCTACTTAATATTCACCGATGCTATCTACATACTGCCACTAATAATTGGTGAACATGCCAACAAAAACAAGGAGCACTACAAGGAGATCAAGGCACACGAAGTCAGAACACTAGCGACTAAAAAACTCGAGAAAGAGAAGAGGAACCGGAACATATGAACCCAGAATAAAAATTAAAATTTCTAGTCCAATGGAGCTGGCAACAGTGCCCTAACCTAAGCTAAGTAAGATTACGGCGTTAGAGCACTGGGCCAAATAAATAAAGACGAAAAAAGATTCGCAATAAAACAATTGCGTTCCAGGTCCAAGCGGCAATAAAAGCTTGGATTGTCATAAGGCATTAAACGAGATAGTTGATCAGAATAAAGCGATACAGTTATGACAAAACCTTTTTGTAGGGTGTCTAAATCCAATGCAATTATGCCAAGATACGTAATCCCAATATCAACCGAGATAGCTATGACTATACTCCGTAAGTTCTAATTCTTCGATCGATTCGATTAAGCGCTTAATACCAACATTAATCAAAATGACAATGGAATAGTTCTGGTTAGGAATCTAAATAATAATCTGTCTGTGTACTTATCCAAAATGGAAAATTAAAAACCAACAAAATTTCATACTTCCCACCCACTTAACCAAACCAACAGGTTTAAGTTTCATTCGATTAAAGCGTGCCTCATTTTAAACCGATTAATCAAGAGCGAAATATATTTGTGATGCTGTCGTCGATCGCTGGCGACGAACTAAAATCGCGCCTTATTGGAATTTTAAACGGCAATGCGGCAAACTTTTAATGGAAATAGACTGTCAAAGCTCGCATCTAACAACTTTTAAATTTTCCGAACGCTTTGCTCCCGAGTTTTTTTCCGGCTTTCGCGTCGGCGGTATGAAAATTTATAATCATTCCAAATATCCATGTTTTATTAAACGTGTTTAAATGCTTTTAGTGCGTTTGACAGAGGTCGGTTTTAAAAAGGGCTATTTTTAAATGCATTTAAATTTTTTAATGGGTTTTATGAATTCCGGGAAATTTTCATTGCTACGGTCTCGATTATCGATTATATAAATAGGAAATGGATCAAAGCAAGGGTTTAATTTCAATGAGTTTTGCTAAAAGAAAACACAAAACTTTAAATTTAAAAATATATCACTGATTTTCCCAAACATGTTTTGATTCTTTTAATGCCTTTCAACATTTGTTCATCAATATTTTAACAAATGGAGAATTTAGGATTAACATGGTTTAATTGACAAATTACAAAAGAAGGATTTATATTTATTTTAACGATACAAAATAAAAAATTTCTGCACAAAACTAGAAAATGAATGAACGATATAGGCGACGTTCCATTTCGATATCCAATTTTGTCATCTGTTTCGAGTTGGCGTACTTGGCCAAGTACCAAGTTTGAAAACAAAACATTTACGTCTCCAGAAGTTCAAATAGGCTTTAGATTCGAAAATAGAAGTTTTTAGAAGTACAGTGGCCTACAATAAATTTAATGAAAATATTGAGAACTAAACTTTTGTTCTCTAATGACTCTGAATGTGAATTAATGGTTTGTTTTGACGACTCACGAGATCTTGTTCGAAATTTGCGAGTTTTTATTTTTTGTTGCAGGTATCGTTACATCCGGTGGCTGTATGGTGGGCGAGCGGTTGAGAGGTAGTGGCACCGGCCTCAATTTGGCCTCAGCAACGCCCTCTATCGCTTCCCGTGGAGCAAGTCACAAGCAAAGCCACGAAAGCGTTCACCGCGTACTAAAAAGCGTGTCGAGGCAGAGCCTTCTAAGTAGGTTTATATAAAAAATATTAAAATATGTCGGGACAAGTCGTTATTATTTATCGGCCAACGCGACATGACCTATAGATAATGTTATCCTAAATAAATCCTAAACGCACAAAATGATCATTAAAGCATTTTACTACAATGAGTAAAAATTTTGTGCAATCAGAAGAAAGCGAGGTCAGATTCCATAGGAATTTTGATATTTCGAAACATAGCATGCTTTGGTTCCCATCAATAAATACATATTAACCGGTTTTATGACTTTCGTTTCAACCCTTAATGTCTGGTTCATTCAACGAATATTGTCAATATGTTTGTTTCTTCCCATTGCAGATTTGGTCGGGTGTAAACTCGGTATGTCTAAGCAATGCAGTCAATCAGTGCAGAGTAGTTATCACCAAGAAGGATTCTTTGCTTCGTCGCGCGATAGTTTACCAGCGGCGTACGTTAATCGTGCCGCGAATGTGAGTTCGGCTAGTGAACTCGATCTGTCCAGGAAGACTAGAAGGTATTTGATTTGTTTGAGTGTTATTTATAATTGCAATTTCTTTTCAACAATTTTTGGAGATCATTATTGTTAGTTGTTCGATAGGGCTTGACGGCTATGTGATTTTAAGCTAGGAGTTCGCCTTAGGTTGATGCCTGTTACAACTATTGGTAGGCAAAATTGCAAGGGCTGTAACGTTGAGTTCGTTTATATAGTATTTTTTAACAGCTCAATATAGAATTTTGTCCTCTTTTTTATTTTAAGACGACACTTATTCTGTGCTATGCACAATTTCGAAAGTTTTCATAAGTTTTGTCACACGGATTAATTATTTTCTTTATTTTTATTGATCAATGATCATCTCTTTTTAAACATCGTAACCTAGTAGTTTCATTCTATTGGGCGTAGAAACCCAAAGTTCAAAACTTGAATTTTATGTCCGTTCTTGTTTTAAGTGGAACTGCTATTATAGATACAGGAAATTGGGAACACTGATATAATAGAGTTCCATTTTAAAATGAACGAAGAACATATTTTTTCATCGGATCGAGACCTATCTATATTGTGTACATTTCAGATAAAGCTTTCCTAGAAAATCAATAACGAGATTAAAAATTATCAGTATATACCAACAACGGTTGCTCTATTGTACCGCGATCCAAAATAATGATGAAGTAAGTGTATTAATCCATTTTAAACATGTAATAATCAAAAAATTATCCATAGTGGTTCAGATCTGTCGTATGTTTCTCACAAGGACCTAAGAACTTTATCTAGCATTAAAGAAAGAAAGAAACTTCTCAAAAATATATAAGTATCTACTGATTTTTCTGTTCATGCCGTGGCATAATTCTATAATCGTGACAATAATCCGTGTCTATAGAAAAGATTTGCGTGGTCGCCTAAAATTGCCAAGCAGTGTGGTCTTAGCCAGTGCGGGGGAGGCACCGCTACTGGGAGCTTGGAGGACAGCCACTGGATCAACGACTGGCACGAACCCCTCCAATCACCTTAGTACTAGCAGTTGTAACGGCACTGAAAGGTAAGAAGCAAGTTCTAGCTAGTATTTGCAAATGTTGTTATTTTGTTGTCACAATAAGAGCAAATTTCACACACTAAGGTGTCCTTTTTTTAAACCGCATTCTTCACGCACGTAACCCCTCTTTTCCACAAAGGTAAGCACATTTTGGGAAAATATTGCCTAGAAAATATACAGCTAAACGACGAACTGTCGAATTCTTTTCAACATTTTTGGATGTTGCTTTCAAAACTAAGCTTTAGCAAAACGTTAATGACAAAATGATAACAATTTTCTTCAGCAGCGTCGCCAAAGGGGATTGCCACTTATTTTGCCACCGAACTTTTTAGTAGGGTAGTTTTTAACTTTTGAACAATAAATTAAACAATCTGCATTTTATTTTGAATATGAATATGAATAAAAAAATGGTGGAATTTTTATAAAATGCTTTCTGTGTATCTCTCGTGATTTAAGATGTATTACTCCATTTATAAATATGTATAAACATGTCTAATAAAGATAATAGAAACTGTATAATAATGTATAATGTAATATTTATATTGAACAAGTGCTACTTATTTAGAGATAATACTATATCATATCATTTTAATTATTTAATGCTTTTATACATTATACTAATTTAATTCTTGGGGATAATTTTTGAAAAACAAACTTTTAATTCAATTAATTTTAACTAATTTGATACTAAGGAATAATAGGTTATTTATTGATATGACAATTTTTGTAATAAGTCATCGGTTAAGTGAATAATAGAAGTTATCTACGAATTAATTATTATTTTCGTCCTCCATCCTGTGATTTCAAATTATCATCCTGCAGAATTTCTTTTAATTGTTGTCGCAAACCTTCGTATTTCCAGTTTTTTTTTTAATTTTCTGACAATTGGTGTCAGATGTGGGGGTGGAACTGTCTAGCCGTTTTCCGGAGAAGCGTCGCTAGAGCCTTCCTTTCAATTTTTCTCATCAAATTTTTTATATTATATTATATATTTTATTTTAATTTCACTGTTTGAATAAAAGTGTTAATAATAACTAATATAATTTAAATGACGACAGATGGCTATACTTTCGTTTATAAAAAGTTGTCTTTATCTCTCACTTAAAGAGTTTTAGACTTTTAGGTGATTATTTATACTCTTATCGGATTATTTTCGGATATCATCAGGTATAATTTATAGCCCAACTAATTCATTGAACTAACAACTGCAAATATTATCACTACTTTCTACTGTCTTTAATAGACATTTTGATAGCACACAAACTTATGTGTCTGTAACTTTTTTAACGAATACTTTTGGAAATAAGACATTAGAAGATCTCTCATATGTTTGTAAAGTCGTTAGACGCTTAGTTTTTTTTCACACATTAAGAAACTAATCACAGTTCAGTAGACACATAAATTACTTTTGACGCATCATCCCCATAGCACGAGTCAATGTTATTTGTAACGCAACCTCGTTTAGAAAGAGAAGAAAACTGCGCTAAACAGTCGGCACGTGATTTCAGAGATCATTCATTGCATTTCACAAACGATTACGCGAATCCTCTACGGCGGCGTCAGCGTTTTAGATGCCGTCTTGTTGGCGACATCGCCGTGCCGATAAACCCATTCTTGTTGGGATTGGGAGAGCTTCAATCCTTTGAGACACGTTTGCAATTGTTGCCGCAGACGAGCGAATTCTTAAGGCGTACCGGGATTTTATTTAAACAAAAAAAGTTGGCTGGTCGCGTCAACGAAAGCTTGTATTGGGATTTACGTTCCAATCCAGTTTTATTCGCACAAGATGAAGAAAATACTAAGCCACTGTAGTAGTATTTTTAGCACATATCCTTTCCTTCATTAAAAATGTCACCAGAGGTTTGTCACATTAATACCATCTATAGTAATCTGTGATAAATCAAATTTTCTACTTTTTATTTACAGACAACAGGAATTTTGAATCTAATTAGTTGAAGATTTTCAAAAATGCATTAAGGTCTATGTCACTCCGTATTTAAACTTAAATCTATGTTGATAACTCAAATTCCCCCCTTTCCGTGCTCGATCCGATAGAAGAGTTTACATGAAAAAGCAGAAACACTGTCACCTGTTCAGACCTTAATCGTATAGATACTAAATTTGCGATTTTAGTTGAAGTATTACGTTAGAGTTCAAACATATCTTTATAGTTGTTGCAGTAATACAAAAAAAAAATACAGATTCCATTTACTATGATTGATTGACCCTTTTGTCAGCACCTTACAAAAGTGAACTAAAAAAACTTTATGTAATAACGTTTTATAATAATGCGATAAGATAAGATAAAAATTATTTTATAATTATTTCTGTGCATTGGACCAAATTAAATCAATGAGTAAGTGTTAGCAACAACGACATCCCAAAAGGGATTATCGAAGTAGAAAGACATGACGTGAATCTAAAATACCAATTATTCGAAGTAGAGTAAAGCTGTATCCCCATAGAGAGTAAAAAAATTACCAAAACATTGTCATTCGGTGGGTTTAAAAATTTTCATTGATTCAACCGACAGAACGGAATCCGTTTATGCCCACATCATTTTAGGAACGAAAATATATTTAATTCTAAAATTGTGAAATAATAATGAAAACATCTTCAAGCTGGTATTTATCCATAATAAATTGTACGAAAATTGTTGTATAATATACTATCAATTAAAATTTTCCTCCGTTTTGTTACGTTTTCATAGATAATGAAAAATACCGTAATAAAGACATATTTACGAAATAATTAGTAAGAAATTCGTAGTTTTGAAAACACAAACAAAGTTATATTTACCAGCCACAAAATTATTCGTAAACTCTTCATCGAGAAGAAATAAAGGAACTTGAAATTGTATTGTGTAATATCCCGCGGTTTTTCCAAATGGATTTCCAAGAATCTCGCTAAAAAATATGGCACATTTAAATTCGGAGGTACGTATGAAAGTTCTCCTGCCATCGACATCCAAGCGGAGACATTAAACTTGTGGCTTTAAAGTCCGAAACTTTAGCTCTATTTCATTCAAGTGACGGCGTTAAGAAGCATTTTAAAACCGGAGTGCATTTGACAGTATCCTTTTAACTCCGATATGCGGGTGTAAGGTAAAGCGCGCTAGGGACGGCGTAGACAAAACCTTAAGCTATTAGCCTCGTACAAACAAACAATGAAATTTCTTGTTGATTATTACTATTATTAATTTTCACGTTCTGTAACTATAACAGGAATGTGATCACGTGCCGAAGACTGCGTTAGTATTAAAAGGGGGAAAAGATGGATGCTTTCCTTGACATTTTCCTCAAAGAGCTGCTTTACATTCTTAAGAATTAACCGGAATATAAAATATATCTACTTAATCTTTTTTAACTCTTTTCACAGTAGATAAAAAACTAATAATATATTGTGCAACAAGTTTAATAAACTCTATTTTAGTTACGAAAAAGAGTTGCTTCCAAATAATAAAAAAATATAAATAATTCAAATCAGCACTTGTCACTTATCACCCTCCGTCTAAGTAAATGTTATTTTCTGTTTCAGTCGCTACGGGTTTCGTCGAGTCGATTCGTATTCGTCACGACTTCGTGCAGGTTCTAACTGGTCATTCGTGTTCGACCCCGCGGGGCGCCTCTGCTATTATTGGTCCATGATAGTTTCCTTAGCGTTCCTTTATAATTTTTGGGTCATAATTTACCGCTTTGCCTTCAGAGAAATTGACGGTAAGTCTGTTAGAGAACGAACCGTCTGAGAAACATCCGATGGCTTCATCGTATAATAATAATCTGCCTCACTTTATTAAATAATTAATAAACTAAACCAGAGGCAATGAGATGCACCAGTCAGAGAGATGAACGTAGATATCTATTTATATATCTACATAATCTAGCTGCAGCTTAGTGATTCCCGGATATCGATACGCATTAACAATAACCGAATACGTGTATACGCGAATATATAAGTATATTAAGTATTATTAAGAAATATTTCATTTATTAGAATTCTAACTTCATTATTTCTGAGACTGCCTAACCAACTGTCATTAACAATAATTATTAAATTATTGAAATCAATGAATAAGGGAGTTATGTATTTTACTTCCGAAATAAAACTATGGGGTACCTGTAGAGTTTTAATTTGGACCACACTAAAGTTATGATTTATAGCCAGTTTATTTAGAGGCGACTTTCTATATAGAGAATATTGATTATCGATATGATACAAAAAGAAGGTTAGAGAGAACGATATTTCGACCGAGGTATGTCTTTTAACGCAACCGGAGTTTGAAGAAGTGTTTTTTTCAAATTGCAGCGAACACGATCTTGGTGTGGTTCTGCCTGGACTACTTCGCGGATTTCCTGTACCTGATGGATATATTGGTCCACTTCCGCACCGGTTATCTGGAAGATGGGGTTTTGCAGACCGACGCAGTCAAGCTGCGTCAGCACTACATGAACTCCACAACCTTCTATATAGACTGCCTCTGCTTGCTCCCGTTAGACTTTCTTTACTTGTCTATCGGTTTTAACTCCATATTGAGATCGTTTAGGCTAGTAAGTATTCTAAAATTATGCTCGTCAATTATCATTTAGAGATGTGTTAACAGGTGCTGGCAAATTTGCAACGTTTTAATTCTAATAATATTCGAGATAACCTGTAAGCGTTTGTGATTACTACTGGAAGGGTAAAAATTCAATTCGACAAAAACCTTAAATCTTGGTCCTAGCGATCAACCCATCCAAAAATATTTAAGACTGGTCTCGTATTAAAAACAAAGGTAGATCGCCTATTACAAGTAAGTGATATTAATCTTGTGCATCTTTTTTAGATCGACAATAATGTTCCTAATTTTAATAAAGTAGTTACTGATAATTCGAATGTCCATCGCTTTATCTGAATTTGTTGTATTAGAGAAACATGTTACACCTTCTTGTCGACTAGTTCGTAACAAGCCTTCCTATTCTGTGTCGCTGGAATCGGATATTGTCCGTCCCATATCTGAAAGCATTCATCTAAATTTTCTCAACCATGACTTCTTCCTAAGCTCCTTTCTCTCCATTGTCTATCTTCCCTTCCAAGTTCGCAGCCTTTATTTTTTTTATTAGAGTTAACTCTGTGCATTTCTTATTTATCCACTCTAGAATTTGAATATTAGTGATACATCTACCAGTGATACTCTCAACATATGCCAGATTTCAAATGCTTGCAGTCTTGTTGTCGAGGTTGGTTTTAACGTCTAATCCATAAAGAGTTTTCTGTATTCTACTCTTCGATTAGTTCATTATAAGAGATTGTTTATAGTTAGGTTGTTAATGACAAAAAATTTGATTTTCTCCTTATTTCTATTTATTTTATACCGGGTGACACAAGAAAAAGGGAACACTATAACTTTTAAACGGCTTGAGTAAGAGATTTCAAATTTTGAAGGGTTTTGAAGGCTGAATGTCCAATTTTTTGACAATGTGTATTCAGTGGTTGCACTTCTGGTTTGAGCGGAAACGACAGTAACTTTCGAATTTTAAATGAGAAAACCTATATTTTGTTGCATTTTTGGATACAGGACATCATTCTACGTGGGATAGGAAAAATTGAAAATTGCATCTATGGCTGTGACTTTTGACACCACATTTTTCAAAATCTGTCAAAAACTCAGCTCATAGGACGAAAAATACCAGATAAGTAAATACATTTTTATAAAAACAAAATATTACTTAGCTGGCTTTGCCTCTATTCATCATCAAGTCGACATGATTGAAAATTCTGACAGTTTGTACATTTTTATCGATTTGCATTATTATGGAAAATAATAATCAGTTTACAAATGCAGAAAAAGTTGATATGTTTCTGATATACGGCGAATGCAGAACAAACTCCCGACAGGCCCGTGCATTGTATGCAGCCCGCTATCCGGGACGTTGCTTTCCCGCTCATTCTTTCTTTAGAAAGCTGGAATTGAAAATGAAAAATACACAAAATAATCGACATGATAATTTGATTGTAAGTGGAGAAATGGAAATAAATGTTTTGGAATACGTCAACGTAAATCCAGCTGCGTCGCTAAGAGAAGTGGCATGCGAATTAGACATCTCAGGAGAACCTGTGAGAAGAATTTGAAAAAAAGCAGCTATCATTCTTTTAAGTATTACCTTCATCAACATATTTATGAAGCTGACCTTGTAAGAAGACTTGGATATTTTAATTGGCTGTTAGATAATCATGACGAGAATAATTTTGTTTACTTAATTTTGTTCACTGATGAGTCACGAAATAATACTATGTTTAACCGACAGAACAACGGATCTTTAAATAATCAAAGAATTATTCGTCGCAGACAGTTTTAAGAACGGTTCGGAATCAATGTTTGGGCAGGAGTGATAGGAACGCGAATTATTGGACCTGTTTTTTATTCGTGGTGCCTTCACTGGTGCACGATATTTACAATTCTTAAGAAACAAAATTGGAGATTCGGTAGATGGTTTACCTCTTGCCGTGACATTAAATATGTATTTTCAGCAGGATGGCGCTCATAATTTTAGAGATGTTACTGAACACCTATGTGATGTTGATGGGGATAGACAAATCTCAACACACGGTCCAGTCAATTGCCCCCCACGGTAACCCGGACTTGACACTGTTAGATTTTTTTGTTTGGGGGTACGTGACAGACCGTGTTTACGTAACTCCAGTGTTCGACCTACAAGAATTACAACGGAGAATATCGCCTGCGTTTGATAGTATAACTCCAGAAATGTTATGAATACAAGAAGGAGTTCATTTTATTAAGTTATTAAGTAAATTTTTATCGCACTCATTTAATTCAAATAAATACAAAACTCCAGTTTCAACATAAATGAATGTGATGTTTTGTGTCAATGTAAAACTTGTCTTACAGTAACACACGTTGATATACCACTTTCAAATCGATTCTACCGACATTGTTGAGCTTTTATTTTCTAACAGATTTTCAAAATATTGTGTTGAATTATTCCAAAAAGTGACTTTTGTGCTTCTGAGTTTCCGGTAAAAAGTGCTTGTAGATTATGACGTATGTATACATACAATACTTACGTTATTTTTTGACTGCATCCCCGTACTCCAAAAGAATATCATAATATTTTCAACAAAAAATTCTAATCGTTGAATCTCAGAAGAAACTCTCTCTTGAATTTTAATTTTTTTAAAGTTCTAATGTTTTTTCCTTTCCACTGTGGAGAGTTTCTTCTTCATTTTTATTCTTACCGACTTGACAATTAATAATGAATAGAACCAAAGCCACTTAAGTAATATTTTGTTTTTATGAAAATGTATTTTTTTATCTGGTTTTTTCTTTCCTGTGAGCCTATTTTTTAAAGGATTTTAAAAATTTTTTGGTCTTAAAATGTTTCAAAAAAGTACCGGGTTTAAAAGGTTTTTGTTCCCACTCGGAAGATATTTGAAAAAACTAGGTTAACCTAAAAAATTAATAGTTTATTACGTTAAATGCTATTCGCCATTAAACCAGTAAAGAAAAGTTTTTGCAATTTTTTCCATGATCAAGTGGTATTTATGATGGTCACACAATTTTCAAAAATTAAATAAAAATTAAAAAAAAAAGAGAAAAACTGTCCTGTCCTACGTAAAATGATCTCCTGACTTCAAAAATGCAAAAAAAAAATAGATTGTGCCATTCAAAATACGAAAGTTATTTTCGTTTCCGCTCAAACCATATTATCACAAGAATTGGACATTCAGCATATATTAACCCTTCCAAATTTCAAATCGCTATCTCAAACCGTTCAAAAGTTATAGTCTTCCGAATTTCTTGTGTCACTCGGTATATAATGGTCACTCAATGTAATTGAATGTGAATGTATTGTAAATCCTTGTATATCTTAGATTATGTGACGCCATAACATTGACTGTAATTTTGATGATTATCATCCAATCTTCTTAAGCAGTTTTTAATATTTCTGAATTTTCCAGTTTGCGGGAATAATAATGAACATTTACAAATTTTAACTCCTTTTGAATTTAAAATTTATGAGAACTGTATTGATAATTATGATATAAAAATCCTTAAAAATTAACTACTATTGATCAACATGTTTCAATTTCTTGACAAAAGCTTGCGGTTGCTTAGTGTGGCAAATGCTTGCGTAAAATTGAAATATTTTGCAAGTAAATAATAAAGGCAATGGATGCACCGTCATTCTACCAAATATTAATGTGGTCAAAATATAGACATTATAGACTCGTCGCATCCTTAATTTTATTATATATAAATTATGTTTTATTATATTTTAAAGCACATGGCTCCAAATGGCATTTTATTTACCACACCAATTCAGTAGCCAGTTTTAATTTGGTGTAATTTTTACTATTTCAAAGCAATATTACTTGTTTGTGTAGTCAATAATGGTTTTACACTGTTTTAACTGTTTTAGGGTGTGAAATAAACAGTTAGTATCATTTTTACTACGTCTAACGCTCGGGCATAAGCAAAAAGCACTAAAGCGTTTGTTCAAATGGCAAAATTCTCAGTACACCGCTGGGAAAATACGTGCGACGTGTATCAAGTTCAAACGCAATTAAAAAATACGTCGTAGTACTCCGGGCGCGTCGCACACTGTTGCAATCAGGGTTAATTATTTATGGATTAATTGCACTTTTTTAGTTTCCGGTGCAACTGTGAAATTGGATGCCATTTCTCTTGTTAAATGTGTGCGTTTTAAATTATGAGCCTTATTTGCCCACTGATTACACCACAAAGCGGATTAACTGATCAACATTTTGCGATAACACCATTAATTACTCTTGCATTTATATTTTTCTATTGCGTTCTTCAACGAAAATATCGAAAATGTAAAGGAAATTTTACACATTGGGTTAATCATTATGCAAGTGCGGCATGATATTCGTCAAAATATTTTGGGATTTAAATTTGGACAATCTATGTTTCTATCATGGTCCATCTCATATCGGGTGATTATGGAGAACAGCAAAGAGATTCTCTTTGAAAATTCGAGTACTTGGATTTCCCTATCTGCTCATGTCAAAATTCTTTAATTTTAAATCGCATATCCTATAATTTTTCACAGCTTACCGTAATATTTTTTTAAAACTTCTTTCTGTATTCTTCCTGCGTCGGTGCTCACTCGAACTTGCTCACGTCTTGGCTTCTTCAGAGCTTGCCTGAAACTGGCTCGCATTTCACTCTGTACCTGCTTATATATTATTTGAGGGGAGAGCGTAGCTAAATACCGCGTCGGATGACTAATTACCATATTGGTGACAAGACCTGAATCGTGGTTAAGATTGTTAGGTTGCTTATAGATTAATTCATTACATGCAAGAATTTTAGTTATATCGAATAAAGTTTTATGTCCGATTTCGTGATTGTGTTCCGCAGCTGCTGATGAGTTTATTTGTCTTAGTATTAAGGCTCTTTCATGTTCTTCGAGCCTAGTTGGAATGCTGCAAACTCCTGACATCCCAAATGGAATTTTGTCTTTGACGGACCGAAGATGTTGAGAGATTTTTGGACAAGTGGTAAATCTGGTTGTGACGTACTTCC